AAACAATGTAAACCTCTTCTGGAAAGGAACAAGTGCCTCGCCAAGAGAAATGATGAACTGATGGTGTCTTTGCAGCGCATGGAAGATAAACTAAAAGCCGTTACGAAGGAAAATTCAGAAATGGTATGTATCACAGACTCTTCAAAAGTGCAGCTTACTTGTTTTTATTATGCCACTAACCTGACTTCTGGTCTTTCCCAGTTTATTTTAAAAATATTATACAGTGCTATTTGTGAAAATTTAGATTTTTCCCCTTATGTAAGCAAGGAAGAACCCATAAGGAAGAAATCAAAAGAAGGCTGCTGGCTCTGAATTTTATGGAGTTTCTAAATTTTGCAGAACAATAGGAACACATCCAGAAATCTGCACACTCTCCAAAAGCTCCAAAATAAAGAAGCAGAGTTCCAGCCTGTCTCCTCAGCCATAGAAGCCTGCTTCCAGGATGAACAGCAAGGCCCTACTACAGCACAGGGAACTGTATTCAATATCCTATGATATCACAATTATCCTGTGATAAACCAGAATGGAAAAGAATATTAAAAAAGAATACACATGTATACATATGTATAACTGAGTTACTTTGCTCTACCGAAGAAATTAACACATTGTAAATCAAATATAATTCACTAAAACTTTTTAAAAATAAAATGTTTTAAAAAGAGGCCCCCTTCCAAGAGTTTTACTAATGTGGTCTTTATAGAACAGTATAGTACATATACCCGCATCTTCTAAGATCTTGCATAATAACTGGAAATAGATGCCATCATTTGCTTTATATAGAGAGGTGATGTACTAATGTACTCTTTCACAGACTTCTAGTCCAGTTGTAGAGATCTTCAGACATTCCCAATGATTTCCACCTATTATAGCAGACAAAATAGATGTGAGGGTGTTAGTCGGTGTGTGTGTCTACATATTGAAGCTAAACAGTTTTCACATTTAGCTGGAACCTCATAAAATTTCTACAGACATTTTATATTAGCCACTGAAGTTTGGGATTTTTAAAGTCTCCACCTATACTTTCTTTTTTTTTTTTCTTTAACCCAGAGAGAAAAAATCACATCCCATCCACCCTTGAAGAAATTAAAATCTCTAAATGACCTCGATCAAGCTAATGAAGAACAAGAGACAGAGTTTCTAAAACTTCAGGTCATTGAGCAACAGAACATTATTGATGAGCTCACAAGGGTAGGTCTTGATTAATCTGTAAACTCTAAGCCGTCCTCAAGGACAAGTAGGCAAGAAATCAACATACGCTAGAAACACTTAATAATTTTGGATTAGCTGCAAAGGTCCAAGTTCATGTGATTAATATGTAAATAGGTTCAAGAGACTATTCCAAAACTCCTTTATATCCTTTAACTGTTTTATATCTTTTCAGTTATAATCCTTTGTTAACTAATTTGGTAACTCAAATAATAGCTATAGAGCACATTAGAAGAATTCCCAAATGTATTATATATGAGTAGATTGATGGTGTGCTGTATCTTATAATTACCTTCTAGTATCAAGATCTGAGGCTCAGAGATTAAATATTTTACAATAACAGGACTATAGGCCTCTTATTTCCCAACACCTGATTCAGTGTCTGGTAGTTTAATAAATATTTGTCAAATGAACAGCAATGTCACAATGACATGACAGCTGAAATTCCAGTCCAGATGTTCTGAGGACTCCAATACCTGCTGAAGTAGGTCAGGCAGTTGTTACTCCCATCTGCATCTGGCTGAGACCTATGTTACGTGAAAGTCACTCAGTCATGTCCAACTCTTTGAGACCCCGTGGACTGTACAGTCCGTGGAATTCTCCAGGCTAGAATAGTGAAGTGGGTAGCCTTTCCCTTCTCCAGGGGATCTTCCCAACCTAGGGATTGAACCCAGGTCTGCTGCATTGCAGGCGGATTCTTTACCAGCTGAGCCACAAGGGAAGTCTGTGTTACCAGCAGCTTTGGACTAAGACCTGTATCTGCATTTGGGTTTTCCTCTTTGCCTCTCTGTGTTTATTCTGCAAGTGACATCTGTGATCACTCTAACTTCACAACCAAGCCAAGGCTTACAGAGGTGAACTAGTGATGGGAAAACTTCAGACAGTAGTCTCCAGAGTAGGGTGAACAACATGATTTACTGCTATTGAGGAAAAAAAGGATTATAAATTCAGCTTTTAATTATTTATGGTTTACCCTTTTAAAATTTTCTATATTGAGTGTTTGTTATAGTGCATATGCCACATTAGAAGAGTCATCTAGGTATAAATTTTTAAAGTTTTAAATATATTGAGATTGGATGATCAAGTTATTTTTGTTTATAAAGGTGGGGGGGTTAATACTACTGGCTTAATCTAGGTTATTTGTTAAACATGCCCTTCAAATCTCTATGCTCCTAACTTCAGTTCCACATTCTTAATAACTCATAAATCTCACAGATTCACTAGTCTAAGAATTTGCTTGACTTTGAGTATCCTCAGTTTAAGCTAAGTTTCTTACAGAATTTTGAGATGTTGAGGCATTTCTACCAGACTTTCAGACAGACATAAGTGTTACTTATTTCTTCTACTTTTGAATTTGTACAATAACCATATTAAATACTTAGCAGGTGGACACCAAATTTTTTTGTGAAATCGCCTTTCACAAAAAGAATGAATTAAGAAATCAGTCATTATATCTGGGCTTCCCTGATAGCTCAGTTGGTAAAGAATCCACCTGCAATGCAGGAGACTCCGTTTGATTCCTGGGTTGGGAAGATCCACTGGAGAAGGGATAGGCTAACCACTCAGTATTCTTGGGCTTCACTTGTGGCTCGACTGGTAAAGAATCCACCTGCAATGTGGGAGACGTGGGTTCAATCCCTGGGTTGGGAAGATCACTTGGAGGAAGGCAAGGCTTCCCACTCCTGGAGGGAGTACTCTGGCCTGGAGGGATCTGGGGAAACTGAAGAATCCTACTTTAAGAGAACAATGAATAGCTCTTTTGTGCTTCATTTCAGGTATAAAACAAAGGATGACAATTAGGAGCACAGTGTACTTCCTGACTGTGAGGCTCTCAGATCCACACAGATTATCATGAAAAGTTGTAAAATATTCTTCCTTTGAAAATACCTAGGTATCAAATCCAAAGTTGCCAAATTTTACAAAGCATAATCTTATTTTAAATAGAAATATGTCATGCCTCAGGGAAAAAAACAACTCTGTCTTTCAAAACAAACAAACAAAAAACCTATAGGAAAATATGTACCAACTCAAGAGCTGAAAAGCCTTTCATCTGTTTTCCAGGACCGGGAAAAGCTCATTCGTAGAAGAAAGCATAGAAGAAGTTCCAAACCAATCAAGGTAATGAGGAAACTAGGTTATCAGGCTTTTGCCATACACAAGCACAGCCAGAGTAGTGAAGCTTGCCGAGGCATCTTCCTGCAAAGACATGATAAATCAGATGTTCCTGAACTGCGGCAGAGCATGGGATTTATTTGCCAGAAGAAAATCTTTCCTCTCGACAGTTCTTAGAAGTCCAAAAATGATTGTGTTGTTGAAAACATAATTGTGCTGTGGATTTTAAGCTGAAAGTGTTTGCTTTAATACAGGTTTTCTGAGTGAAGAACCCACTAGATTTAACGTAGAAAGGGTTATCTGACAAGCTGGAGAGTCATGCTTCAAGAACATGCAAGAGATACATATGATTTGATGTCTCCCATGAATAACATTAGCATC